CAGCCCGAGGCGAGCGAAGACTCCGCCCCCAGTGCTGGTTTAAAGGGGGGGGGGGGGTGTCTCGTGCCCTACCCCGCCCTCTGGCTGCAGGAGCTGGGGCGCTGTGCTCCCCAACATGAGCATGTAGCTCCCCCCCCATGGGGACCTGGAGCCCTGAGCTGCAAACCCAGCTGAGGCTGTGGAGCTCCCTTGTTCTCATCTCTCCCTGCCAGTGGTCCAAGTGCCACTACCTGGGACAGCGAACCACACTAGGGCTAGGGCTACACTCGCGGCTTCTTGCACAAGTACATCTTGTGCAAGGGTTCTTGTCCCAACATGAGCATGTAGCTCCCCCCCCATGGGGACCTGGAGCCCTGAGCTGCAAACCCAGCTGAGGCTGTGGAGCTCCCTTGTTCTCATCTCTCCCTGCCAGTGGTCCAAGTGCCACTACCTGGGACAGCGAACCACACTAGGGCTAGGGCTACACTCGCGGCTTCTTGCACAAGTACATCTTGTGCAAGGGTTCTTGTGCAAGAAACTTGCTCAAGAAAACATCCCCACTGCCATGTGCGAGCGGTGCTTTTGCGCAAGAGCTCCCATGGCAGTGTGGATGCTCTCTTGTGCAAGAAGATTTACAGTACAGCGTAGTGAGAGAGGGCTTCTTGTGCAAGAGCTATGTTCTTTTTTAACAGGTGTAAGCCCTCTTGCGCAAGAAGGCAGTGTGGACGCTCTGCAGATTCTTGCGCAAGACCCTGCCAGTGTAGACATAGCCTAGCTGGGTGGGCTACATCCAGACTAACACGGCTACCCCTCTGATACTTGTCTGAAAAAAGATATAGTAGAATTGGAAAAGTTGCAGGAGCAGTGAAAATAATTAGGGGTATGAAACAGTTTATATGAGATGTGATTTTAAAAAGACTGGAACTCTTCAGGGTAAGGAAAGAGGCTACGGGAAAATATGATAGTGGTCTATGAAATCATGAATAGTATGGGAAAGAATTTGGAAGGGCATCTATCAGGGGTGGGGAACCTAAGGCCAGGGACCAGATGCAGCCCCCAGCTTGCTTGGATCTGGCCACCAAGACACAGGGGAAAGTGAAGTGTCTTTCTGCATCTTAGGTTTTTTTTTCCTTCTCACTTGTGTGCAGCCCCCAACTGATTTTTCTGTGGGTCTGCAGCCCCTGACCCAAAAAAGGTTCCCACTCCTGTTCTAGATGGTGGTTGGTCCTTCTGTGAGTGCAGGGGGTTGGACTAGATCTTTCCAGGTTCCTTCCAGTTCTATGAGCCTATCAAAGAGTTAACACTACCATTGGCTCTTCCTCTGATCTGGGGGCTCATGGCTAATATTGGGGGCATTACATGGTACACACTCCCTTCATTGTCCCATATGAACCCTGATTTCCCATCAATTGCCAAACAGCAAGGCTGGTGACTACAGTACCACTGGCACAGCTTCTGATGAGACCCTGCCCCCTCCTTCAGCATCCCAACCCTACTCCTCCATTGGTGTAATACCCATTGCTCACCAGTCCAGTGTTCCCTGTAAGCTGAAAATCAGGTGCCACCCAGCTAATTAGCAGAGCACCCAGTCAGCAGCATGTTTCTACTGGTGGTGCACATGTGTTTCTACTGGTGGAGACACTTAACAAAATGTATTCTGCATATGGATGAAAAAAAAAAAAGAGGGAACATTGCCAGTGACCCCCCCTTCCTTCTCCCCAGGCAGCATAATGGGGTCATCGTCAACAGTCCTCCCCACTTCCCCCCATGCAGTGCAGCCCCACAGCCTGTCTGGAGAAAGGAAATAACATGGTTCTTCATTATGATATTTATTTCTAACTCCTGAGCTGTACTCCGTCTGCTACCCAGGCCCTTTCTCCTCGGGAATAGGCAACTTGGAAATAAAACAGTGCTGAAAACACAGTGCATTGGCAACCTAAAGGGAACCTGAGCTTATTTCTAATCTGAGATCGTTAGACTAGCAAGTGCTCCATGTTCTTGCCCTGCCAAGCAGGGCAGCAATTTTGCAGATGTCCACAATGCCCGCACCCCTCCCCAGCCCAAAGTCACTTCCCCACCAGCCTAAGGCTCTGGGAGGGAGTTTGAGTGTTGGGTGCAAGGGAATGAGGTGCAGGACATGCAGGCTTTAGGAGGGAGGTGAGGGGTTGTGCTCTGAGTGTGGAAGAGTATCTGGGCTGCAGGCTTTGGGCAGGAGTCTGTGTGCTTGCGTACAGGCTCTGGGCTGGAAGGGAGAATGCAGGAAGGAGTAGTCTGGGAGTTGGAGGGAGTAGTGGCGGTGGGAGAAAAGACTGGGGAGGGGGTGGGGCAAAGGAGGAGTGCAGAGGGAGGGGTTGGGGTGCAGTGCTTACCAGGGGCACTCCTCTCTGGCAGTACCATCCCGGCAGCTTCCCATGGACCACACAGGAAGGGGGCAGTGTACAGAGACACCTCCCCTCTGTGGAGCCGCATGTGCCAGCAGCCACATGGAACAAGTGGCCAGAAGCCACTGTAGCCCTGCTGCACTGCCACTGGTAGTGGTGATGGGGGGGCAGTTTTAAATTGCCCAAGGGCTGCAGGTTGGACTGGGGAATGCTTCAGGGGAGGTCCACGGAGATGGCAGGTGGGATCAGGGACAAGACCCAGGAACATTCCTAGTGCCCAGACTCCATGTACCCATATAACTCACCACCCATGCTTCCAAGACTGAGTAGCATGGGATACATGGGCTGTATGTTACAGTGCCATTCCCAGTCCACACCTCTGCCCTGGCCTTTACTAAGGCTCTGCATCCTTCAGATGCAGAATGGCAGAGGAATTCAACCCATGCAGTAACACCTACTGTGCAGATGGCACACATACTGCTAGTCAGGGTGACAGGGTATGATCTTATTGTCTTCTGCTTAGATTGTCAGCTCTTTTGGGGTGGTGACCATCTTTGTTCTGTGTTACTATAGTGCCTAGCTCTGCAGGGCTCTGATCCATGACTGGGGAATGACTAAACACCACAGGCAGCTCAGCAGCTGCAGGGAGGGTGTCCTGGCCACTGGGCTCCTGTCCCCAGTAGAATTAGCTGCAATGTGGGCTAGGACACAATAATGCTGGAGCGAGGGGGAGCATAGTGGGGCATATGCCCTCAGTACAGTACAGGGCCTGGGGAAAGGAGGGTGCACCCAAAAAATGCAAACACACAAGGAGGTTTCTGGAAAAGGGAGCCAATTTACTGTCTCATAACTTATAAAAATACGCAGGTACAAAAGGAAGTTCTACCACCAGGATAGAGTTCCCACAGGTACAGCTAGGGCAGGCTGAGTCCTGGCACCTCATCCCACCAGATATGCAAAGCAGAGCTGAAAGGGGTTGATACCAACAGGACCCCATTGGTCAGCCGGCAAGCAAGCTGTGTGTAGGGCTGGGGGTGGACTGTTCTGGATAAAGAGGAAAGGGGGCTTTGTGCCAGCCAACAGGGAGCAGCCACGGACCGGCCATGGCTCTGGGTCCGAGGGGAAGCCATCAGCTGCGGATGTGAGCAAACTCCTTGCGCAGCCATAGGGAGTCCTGGTAGAAGCGGGGGTCACCCAGGTGCAAGGCCGTCCTCTTGTAGAAGTAGCAGTACAGCACGGCCGCTGGGGAAAGCAAGAGGAAGATGAGACAGCTCAACCCGTTCAGAATGTCTTCACCCCCACCCCCTCCTCTGTCTGCTGGATCACCCCAGTGTGTCTTGCTGACCACCAGGGCAGGCAGAGCCTCATCGAGATCCAGCCCCCATGGGAAGGGTTTGGTACGGCTCAGGGGAACAGAGATGCCATTCCTTAACAAACCCCAGATCCCAGCCTGGGAGACAGCAGGGAAGGCAGATGGGGCCAGCTTTCTGGTAGCTCTCCCTGGGTCTAGGTGTCTGTGGGTGGTTGCTTGGGGGAGTTGAAGGGTCCAGAGCGGAGCTTGTCTCTTACCCAGCCGCTGGAACACAAAGAGGGCCTGCAGCCCATCTGTCCACACAAAGCGGGTGGAGTTTTTCCAGCGCAGGTTCTGAAAGAGATAGAGGGGCACAACGGACATTAAGGGCAGGAAACAGATGTGAGAGCAACTGTGCAGCCCCCCACAGAGCTCAGCACACTGGGTCCCTTTACCCACTTCCTTGCTCCTCTCTCCCAGGGGCTGCTCCATTCTGTCATTTCCTCCAGATCCTTAATGGGAAGCAGCTCCCTATGTCCAAAGGGTTAGAGGGCTTCCCCTAGTGGCCATGGGGGAGAAATGCACTGTCACTGTGGTCCACTTCCTAGTCTAAAGCAACCCTGCCCACCAAGAACAACCCCCCTCTGAGCCCATCCCTGGGGCCCAGGCATACAGAGGCCTCCTTCCACCTCCCTACAAGCAGGGATGCAAGTGCCAGGGAGCAGCTCCGGGAGCACACAAAGGTTAATCAGATCAGCGGATTTATACAGAACACCAAGACCTAGTCGAGCCTCCCAACACAGATCCTAGAAAATCCTCTTAAATCCTGCTGCCCAGTTAGGGCTCATGGGCAGTGCCAGAAAGGGGAAGCTCCCAGACAGAGACCTTGCATTGGCCCCTCAGAAGGAGGGGTCGGGTGCTCTGAGCACAGGTTTGGGAGTCAGGACACCTGGGTTCTGTTCCCAATTCAGTGGCTCCCTAACTGTGGCTTTGGGCAAGTCATCTAGGTCCAGCTCCACAGAACTGCATAGATGCCCAACTCCCAGCAATTTCAGTGGGAGCTAGGCACCTAAATCCCTTTGAGGATGTGACTCTTGGCCCCTCTTTATGCCTCAGTGTCACGCTCCGTGCAGCATAGGGGGTGAGGTTGGTGGCTCACTTCCACGGAGGGGGAAAGATGCTCTGAAATAAGGATGTTAAGGACTAGTTGACTTGTCGATTCCCCCCCTTGCTGCCTCTATCAGATAGAGGCAGCAAAAGGCGGGGGGGGGAGGGGGTTCAGAAGAGAGGGTATTTCAAAGCAGCAGCGCCGTACAGAGCCCGGGATCATCCGTGCAGCGCTGCCGCTTTGAAACGCCATGGTGATGTTTCAAAGGGGCAGCGCCACACAGATGATTCCTGGCTCTGTACGGTGCTGCTACTTTGAAGTTCCCTCTCTTTGCCCCCTTTGCTCTCCCTATCTGATAGAGGCAGCAGTGGGGGGACTCGACTACCTGATAAACATTTGCTTATTGGATAGTCAACTAGTCCTTAACATCCTTATTCAAAGGGGCAGCACCGCACAGAGCCTGGTATCAGCTGTGCGGCACTGCCCCTTTGAAACACTGCTGTGGCGTTTCAAAGAGGCAGCGTTACGTGGAGCCCGGGGTCAGCTGGGGACTCCCTAGCTGCCCCCGCTCTCCCTGCGGCATTTCCACGGAACCCGGAGTCTGTTGGGGAATCCCCAGCTAATACCGGGCTCTGTGTGGCACTGCTGCTTTGAAATGCCGAGTGGAGCCAGGGATAAGTCCCCAGCTGACCCTGGGCTTCGCGCAGCATTTCCACGGAACCCGGGATCAGCTGGGGACTCCCAGGCTCCAGCGCAGCATTTCAAAGTGGCTGCACCCCTGAGCTCCTGGGGGAGGGGGGGGCTTTATCCTAGGTAAATGTATCTTATGTGCACCCATTAGTGCTGCTCCCTAAAGGATTAGTCTTGTTTGTGGGGAAGCCATTCAAAGCAAGACTCTAAAGCAGGCTTAGGAGCGATCCAGGGCAAGTACTGCTCAGGCCAGACATTCTAGTCACTATCCCTATAACCGTAACTCGTAGGGCTCCCATACGGGAACCAGCCCAGGATGCACTTGTTCATCTGGAGACCAGGAATGGCTGGGCTGGAGCAGTTCCCTGCCTGTGCCCCATGTAATCGGTTAACTGGTTACTTATAATGTTTAATCGCTTAATCAGTTAAATGGGATTTGACATCCCTAGTCTGCTGCCTCCTTAAGAGATGGAGAAGTTCCATGGAGCAGCGATCCCCTCCCTCTAAACCTGGAAGGGAAGAGGGGGGCCCCAGAGAAAAGTTCTGAGGTCTCCAGGCTAAGAGATCAGGCCTC